TTTTATCGTTCAACATGGTTAACGATTGCATTCACAACATTGCTTTTTTCTTCCATGGTAAAGTTCAATTGCAACTGCAGTCCCAGTAGACGATACTTTTTTTTGTCAAGCATGCATACATGTTGAAAACAACACAACAACTTGAACTGTCTTTTCGAAAGCTAATCAAAATTTGTTCTGTCGAAGGATTAGGAAGGAGATTCGCGAATTGTTAACCATGCGTAAATGTTGTGTTGTGCCACAGGTTTGTCAGCTTTTCAGCTGTTACGTGTCCCCCTCTATAATTAAAGTCCTTACTTACTATATAATTAAAGTCCTTACTTACTATATAATTAAAGTCCTTACTTATTTAACAAAATTTTATGTTCTTATCTTATACCGTCAAGCTGTTGTGTCTTGACTCCTTTCATAGTTTGTAGTTCTAAATTACATCAGAAACCATATAACATTAGTTGGACTCAAGTCATCTGTTCAAGATTAAAATGAACACCAATTTGTACAACAAACCCTGAAAAGTGTACCCCTACACACACATCAAACCAGGCAAAGTGTACCCCTGCATACACAACAAATCATGCAAAGTGTACCCCTACATACACAACAAACCATGCAAAGTGTACCCCTACATACACAACAAACCATGCAAAGTGTACCCCTACATACACAACAAACCATGCAAACTGTCCCTACCTCTCCATGTACATCTAGTCTACCGACTTTCAATCCCAAAGCGGCAAATGAATATATTTTGAAATTTAACTAAAGAAAAGAATGCTACCGATGAAAGAAGGCGAAAGGGAGACAGGTTTCTACAAATTTATGATGGTAGTGTTGCAGGCTGTTGCATGTTTATGATTAAGGAGTATTGATAAATAAATCATGTCTGAGGAAAGTTATGTTAACTTTGTATCGTAGAGAACGTTTGGTTTGGGAATTATTTTAGTATATCATCCAATTATAACTGGTTTTATATGCGTTACTCAGTAAAAAACCACTTACGAATTCAGTTGGTGTTTCTTACGAAGGTGGAACATCGCTTTTTAAAGATATCTAAAATATAAACATTGGAAATTAGACAAAAGGAAAGACATTAAAAGATTATAGAGATATGCATTAATTCTTTTCATAAAAAAAAAAACAAGAAAAATAAACAAAGATTATGATAAGAAGCAGTAAACTACAGAAAACGAACATACAGCAAGAATTTGACGACAAGTAACATAAGACGAAATGAAACGAGAGCAGTTTCATAAAAAGATCAGAGCGATTCTCACATCACACGTTGTTTAATTATGGTAGGAAATCAGATCTTTAAAGGTGAATACCAAAATGGAAGGGGGATAGTATCAATTATCAGAAAAGAGAATACAATTTAAGAATATAACTACAGTGATAGCGACCAGTGAAGATCGACCTTACTTTGTGACCAAGGAATGGTTACTGGGAAGATCGACCTTACTTTACTTCGTGAGCAAAAAATGTTGTAAAGGGATTCTTGCTTTGCATGCAAAAATTTGAAAATATTTTCTTGAAAAACATGGCAAGACGTCTGTAAATCAACAGAGACGGGCAAAAATTAAAAGAAAAAGAAGTTTTACCTCCATTTCCTTTGATGTTAGGTGACGATGTCTGAGATTGTATTTTACCGATCTAAAATTGTTTAACGTAACGTTAGATTCACATAACCACGTGATCGTGACAATTTCCTCATGAACCTACCTCCCATGAAAGCTCTTTTTTGATTGGATCAAATGAATAGGTACCAACTGAAAATATGGAGCACAAGTCATAAATGTTGATGGGAAACGTCAATGAAGAGCAATGAAACATCAGACTGTAATGTTTAATATTTTATGAGTGTTTTTACCGTTTGTAGTCAAGTTAAGGTTCAGATCTTGTTTAGGAAATGGAACAGTCACGACAACATTCTCGATCTAAATAAAATATGGAAACAATGAGTGAAAAGACTTTGAAAAAGTTAATGTATACAATATTTGACTTGGTATGAGTACGTTAGGACGATGTAGTTAGTTTTATATAAAATGCTTTGAGATAATACGTATGAAAAAAATGGACTAGTTAGGTTATATCTTTAAGTTTATAAATGCAAGAAGATGCAACAGCAGTTTAATAAATTGACATGATTATAAATACATACATTTTTACCCATAACTGGTTTTGAACTTATCGACAATTCAAATCTTCCACTTCCACCCTGAAACAACCAAGAAAAAGACGATCATCAAATCAATGTTTTGAATAGTCGTACGAATTAAAACGCAAATCAATAAAAAACAAATATTTTAAAATAATTTCAACAGTTGATAAACCTCTTGAAACAAGACACGAGGCTTTGCAAACAATGGTAGCATATTTACTCTAAACAAAAAAACAAAAAATACCATCAAAATAGATAATTTCATCATAAAAATATAACTGATAAAACACCCACCCGGTTGCCACGTTATATGATATTAAACGAAAACGACCATCCGGGGGGACGAATCACAAAATTCGTTCAGACTAAAATACACAGACATTTGAAGTAGTCGCGTTCAAACGCAGTTTTAGTGCAAGATTGAAAGAAAAGTGTTCAATGTAAAAAAACAATCGTTATTAGTCATATTATGAATAATTTGTGTTGACTTCGATCAGAGACAATCCATATTCAACATTCACACTTACGTACCTCCCATCTTCTGAAGCGAAGACAAGGATAAAAACTGACATCTTCAAGGATACGAGGATTTGTAAAACACATGTTGAGATCTATAATTAATACAAATCTTTAATCTACAGATAAAATCAATTTTAATCTAGGGACATAACAAAGTATCATAAATATACCAGGCATGCCAGATAATTTACAGTTGCAGTCAATCTGAAAGAACAAAGTTGAAAAAAGGTGAAAAAATCTTTCAAATGTTGTACTAGAGAGTACATACAACAAAGTATAAAAAAAGGAAAGCACTTACAGTTCCTTGTATTTCTGAAAATATGGTGGAGCCCTACACAAAACAGAAAATTTTAGGAATTTAAACATGCCATAAGTTTTCAGTTCGTACATGTCCTTAGTTTTAATTTAACATCAAACAAAAACAACAAACATATTTTTGTCATACATCATAAACAAAATTAATTAGAAATACTTAGGACTAATTTGTGATGATTAGAATTAATTGGAACTAATTATGAATAATTAGAACTAACAACTAATTAGCAATATTTATTACAACTAATTAACAAAAGAAAAAAGTTCACTCATCACATTACAACTAAAACAAAGAATAAAAAAGGATTTTCTTTCAAATTTCTTAATTGAACAATGTGAATACAGCTACATACCTCATTATTTGCATATTTTACACCAGTTCTCCTCCATGGAACATTGGACAATTGGCCAGTTGGGAGATGACTGCTCATACTACGAAAATATGAAATATTTAACTTAAATTATATCCAGAATGATCATAAATGTGTAAAATAAAACAAATTTAACTAAATATTGTAGTAAGTTGCATATAAATAACAATACAAATATAGAAATGTTTAGTGGTTTTATGGATTTGCTTTATATTTATATCTGATCCTTATATGAACAACATAAAGATCACTACATAAAAACATGGCTCATATGTTTAGTATAAGGAAAGTTCTTACTTGCTGTCTCCAGTCACTTCATTAACAACATTTCTAACTATACTAGGAGGTCTTATCAACTCTTTAAGGACATTTGACTCTGTAGCAAGAGGGAATCCATTATCCAACATCTCTTCCAATAACTGAAGATTATAAAGATATAATATCATATTTTACATCACAGACAACAGAAAAAAATTGAAATTCATCTATCAAACAGCTGGATTCTCTACAAAATATACTAATCTCAAACCTCATATACAATGACACAATTTTCTTTAATGATTGTTTCAGTACAGTCAGAGAAATATTCTTTGATCAAGTCCGCCACTCGATGAAGAAATTCGATCACAAACAAAGGTGGAACTGGAAAGGAATGTTTTCAATTCATCAATAATAATAATCATTAAAGTGTTCACCACATGTTGATGATATGAAAGCTAAATTATTTTTATTTACCACTAAGAATGCCTAATGCAATGTCCTTTGTTGAGTGATAACACTTCTTTGCAATGTAATGCATACTTTTTAAATTAAAACTAGCAATCAATCTCTTGATTGGATTAGAGGCAATTGATTCAAAATAAACATTAAAACATTAACTAACCTTAATATAAACACAAACCTTCATTTTCAACAACAGAAACAAAGAAGAGATCATGGCAAAATATACTGATGAGATAACTGATCCTGTTGCAATTACAGGAGGAATGTCTTCTGGAGAAGTAGCCTGAACATAAAACATGATATTTAATTTGTTTAGGAGCATTTTTATCAGGCAAATATAACATGAAAACTGTTCATGAAAGTACCTTAAAACTTCTCAACCAAACAAGCACAAACAACAATTTACACATATATTCATTTACCTTTCCTTGAGCTTTGAAGAAATAATCACAAACAGAGCGTCCAAAAACACTCCAATGTTTTTCCAGAAATGTATCCCTAAATGTACATGAAAAACATCATATGACCTAGTGACTCACAGTAACCCATTTGGTGTAAAGTTGTGATAACTAAACAATTGAGGAAGCTGTAATCATCAAAATGGCATCATCTAACTGACTTCAATACTATTGAAATTACAGATATCAGGTAATATCTCACAATTTTTATGACATTCTTTATTTTTTCTGGGTATTAATCCTGTCACATGATACTTCTCATAATCTACCTTCACTGGCTTCTGACATTGTTCAAGCTTTCCTTTAATATCTTACTGAAACTAGTCTCATTTTACCTCATTCAAATAATTGTAAAGTACTTCTCACAAATTCACAAGCTGATACGTACAAAACCAACAGAAGAGCTTTGAAAGCAAACAAATATAAAACCAATACATACTGTCACTACCGACTCACCCTGAATGGTTGATGATAAACAAACTGTGAATCATTGTAAAATCCACAGATAATAAAACCTATAAAAATGTATTTCTCCTTTACTTAACTAGCTTAATGGTTATAAAACTATTTTCATGTAAGTTCATTTCGTAAATATTTATTTATATTATTGCCAACATTTAACCAACATTTAAAAGCGATGTTTCCATTAAAAAAAAATCAAGATTCATGTAATCATCTTACTTGTCCCCAGACCACTGAAGACTCAACGGCCTTTCACAGCTGGCTTACCTAACTTATCTTTAATTATGGTCGTGAAGATTTTGGTTTCAATCCCATGATCCTAATTGATAACAGGTCAATGAATTGGAAGAGTCCCAAACAGTTATAAAATATAACGACAGATGAAATACCATGCACTAGGTACAAGGAGAGATGTTCTGTTTTAGTCGATTTTAATTTTGTTTAGAAAAACGTATTTCCAGATAGGAATGGACCGTGACTTCCTTCAGTTTTTTATGCACATGCTACAGAGTCTCCTGAATCTACAAACATGCTAAAAACTTAAACATAGTCTGCATTCAGGAAAATAACTTTGTTCAAATCCTGAGTTTAATAAATAAGTCTCATTCTACTCGCTACGAACGGATCGAGAAGCTCTTTCGTTTCTCTGGAAACCAAAATATCAACTTAGTTGACTGTACCAACGAAACTAAAAACCTCTGTGTTATTTTATTACTAGCATGTTTGTGTTTATGAAAAGGAAAGAAAAATGGAGAGTGAATTTCCGTAAAAAATAAAGAATTTTGATGCATTCATTTTTATACCAACTTATTGTAACAAATGATTATGGAAGTATCAAAGTATGAAATGAACGATGAATACAAACTTTATTTGCAAAGTTCATTTCATTATCAGGTATTGCTAGCAACTTGATTCTATTGCTGTATGAAATCTTTTTTAACTTATCATTAACAACAAAGTGTATGTCACTTAATTTTATCCGCTGCTTTTCCACCAAACTGAAACTCGCAGTCTGGCATTGTAAAGTATTTACTTTGTTCTAATGTTATAAAATAGATTTGACTATGTTCTCGTGGAGTTTTTAGAAAACATATATCAAAGAATAATTTTCTACTTCTTTCCAGCAACCCAGTAAATACCTTTGCAATGACGCAAGAAAAGAGAGGGTCATAGCTGAGCCATCAAAAACACAATTGGTGACAAAAACTGGTTCACGTGATCTTCCATTTAATGTTAAACTAAAGCATTCACGAAACAATATACGACCAAACAAACATATGATTAAAAAATGAGCATGTATTTTCATTTACACTACGATACTCTTCAGTATTAAGAATTACAGGTCGATCACGGTTTGTCTCAGAAAACGATGATCAATCATTTGTTATTGATGATTGATTACACATTTAAGTGTAGTGTACAAAGAAAAGATAAAAACAAACGACAAACCAGGTTGCTAATTACAAAATAAAATTTCTGTTTTGTTTTCTTTAGACGACCAACCCCAACAGTCATTGCAAGTTGAAAACAAGACTAGCAATAGAATATGTTCGTAGTCTTCTCCCGGATAAACAACCACAAGATCGTCCCGTATCTCGACAAAATAGTTTGACAAAAAATGGACCGTTGAAAACTCTTTTTTTCAGGCCAACGAGGCCAACTTTTCGTAAAAGGTTATTTTTTTCAGCTAAAACTTTACTACAGTGAGTTCGTTGTAGCTTACAACTTGTAACGAGGAAAAGCCAACTGAAAATTACAATGTATGCTAAAAAGACAATACAATAAGAAAATATGACGAGAAAATATTCAAGCAAAAATTTTTTATACATCGGAAGGTAAATTATCAATTGGTGTCAGAAAGTGTTTGTCTTTTTTTTGTCATTTCAGTGGATTTAAAGATCTGTTTTTCAGAAGAAATTGGAAACTTGAATACCAGTTTCATAAAAAATATTGAGTCTATAACTCGCATTTTTACTTTTTGCAGAGCGATTGCCATTTTAATCGATTTGATAGTGCTTGAAATACTAAATGGTTGTCATCTCGATATCAATAATTGAACATCCTTAAAGACTTTGATATGTTTTAAAGAAAAACCGCAGCATAAGAGCAGATCGACGTAACAATACTTTTGCACTGAGGATGATGCAGAATTGAAATAAATATAATTCAAAAGATTTTCTTCGTGAAGATAAAACTGACTAGTGAAATGAAATCACCTGAGGTCAAACTTAAGATCTAGGATCCGAAAAAATACAAATTGTTTATAAACACGCGAGAAACACGAGTGAGACGAATGACGAGGACAAATATTTTTTAGGTTTCAATTTTTGGCTTAAATTATCATTCCAGTTATTCAAATATTGAGCTCACTGTGAACAATACGTTCGCCATAAAAAAAGGTATGTTTTACTTTTTTCAGGAAAACAGCTGAACAGAGATGAAGTGAACGAATTGACAGCCACAGCTTATTATTTGTTCATACTTCGTGGAAATAGACAGAAACACTTTTTGAATCATACAAGGTATCCATTATAGTTTATTTGAAGAACAACATAAAATTCTAAAAATAATTTAAACCAACTTTCATCTTTTATCGTGTATTTTATGTTTCAAAAGTTATTTTTGACCATTCTGACATATCCTACAACTTTCCATGTATCAGGAATAATTTTGGTTCTACAGACAAAAGCAAGTGGACGCTTCTTGTGCTGGTAAATGATGAGATATACAAAGTGAATGTTGATCGAAATGTCGATAGTTATCTGGTACGTTTTCTTCCAATGTGCATTTCATGATTTATGTCACGAATGAATTGCTTATTTGTGCACTTTTTGGGAAAATTTTTAGTCTTATGTATGTTTTTGTTCTTTAAATGTCAGATGAATATCGACGGAACTTGTGTGAAATTCCATTCCTCGTCTAACCTTGCAACAAATCTTGTAGAAGCAACAATAAATTGTTGCTGCATTAATTTGCAGGTAATTTGTTGTCGCATTAATTTGCAGGTAAACTTATCGTTTACATCTAATGAAATAATTTTTAGAGTTTGTCAAGAAATGGTCAAAATATCAAACTTCAACATTATGGATCAAAGGTATGAATGACTTTCAAAATTAAGATATTACGTTGAATAATAACTGTCAATTTAATTCATGGTATTTTTTAACGCGAGTCTTGCTAAGCGAAAGTTCTAATTATTATTTTCAAACCTTTTATCATCCATTGTAAGTTTGATGTCATCGTAATGAATGAAACTCAGAATGATTACTCACGAAATATGAAAGAAAAACCAAAGGTATCGATTTTATGGTTTACAAAGCTATTTATACCTTCAATTTTATACATTTTCTCTTTTATTGAATTAAACTAAAAATAATAGTATCAATTACCCAGTATTTAAGGGTTAAATATTCTTTTTCTAAATTTTTTGTAAATTTTCATTTTCAGGAGGATTTGACGCCATTTTTGGATTCACCAATGCCAGGCACAGTGATCTCAGTTACATGTGAACCAGGACAAGAGGTAGTTTTGAATATTGAAATCAATTGTAGTGCAATTACTTGGTTAGGATACTCTAAAAACTTCACTTTCTCAAGTAGCTGAAGGTCAAGAGGTTTGTGTTGTTGAAACTATGAAAATGCAAAATAGTTTATGCGTTCAGAAATCTGGCCGAATTAAAAAAGTGAACTGTTAACCAGGAGATAAAATATTGGAAGGTGATCGACTTATTGAGCTCGAGTAACACTGACTTTTAAAGAAACTTTGCTAAACTGGAGTGATCCATAAACACAAGAAAAAAAACAACACTTTCCTGTTCAGACAATATTTGAAGTGAAGAAATTTAATCAACAGTGATTTTCTTGTATCATGTGAATAATTAAAAATGCATTGTTTCAAATATTTTAGTTCAACAATGAAGGAATATATATGACTAACCGATTATTGTACGTGTATAAATGATTATAATTGTTGTATTGTTTATTTTTGTTTGTGTGAATATTTAGTTTCAAATGCTAAAGTTCAACAGTGCATGATTGTGAATGAATATTAATTCATGTATAAATCATAAACTATACAACGCCATTGTTTTCAATAATTTCAAAAGGATAGTTTCCTTCTTCATCCTTTCCAACCCAAATTTCATTTCATCATTTTTGATGCTAACCCAAGGCATGAGGTCATTTTCAAATGCCTTTCCAATATTTCCATGTCTGTCAATGGCAATTCCTCCTGCGCGTCCGTCAAGTTTGCCAATTTTAAGCACATCCACAGCATCCTGTACAGCTTCCTTTTATGAAAAAAATAAACAAAAGTTAAAACAAAAAAGAGTATTGGTTAAAACTGTATTGTTGAAGTTTAATTTTATAAATTTCTTATTGGACAGTGTTTTATTACGATATCAAAAAAAAACAGCAGTTGACCAGTCTTTGAACACTGTGGTAGAAATGTCAGAAATCGACAAAGCTATTTTTAAGGCTTAAAATGTTAAAAAAAGAGGGTTGTTTGTTAAAGGAATTTCGTTGAGATTTGAGAAGCGACAAAAGAGTTGGGAAAATAAGTTTTTAATTTAGAGTAGAGCTTGAGATTGCATGTTCAGTGCAATCAAATGTTCTGCCGTGTACACGTATTAATCGACAGCAACATTATCTTAAACAAAAACATGACTGAATTTGGGTTTGATATTCTTTTATCTATAAGTTGATTTCTTAAAGATTAACAGTTTGAGGCATGGTCCTTACAACAAAACGAAGTCTATTTGCATGGGGGTGAGAAAAATCAGTAAACTTTCGAATGTAAAGCGACTTGAATTTGTGTCAAGAAAAGTAATGAAAAAAAACTTGACTAAATCATATAATTAAATAAGTTCAACGTATCAGTTGATAAAATTGAATGGACATGATAAATCACACAATTTTTGTCCACGTCATAAGTTTCATAACCTTATACAAAAAAAGGCAATAGTACATAAAATACAATACATCGAAACAATGAAAATTTTTTAATAATTTGCAGCATTACTTGGGCACTTCCTGCTTCCATGTCAATTACAACTTTTCTTGTAAAGTTCAATTTTATCAATTTCTCTACATGACCAGTTGCTGCAGCTGCTCCTTTATCATTTGCATATCCACCACAACCAACTAATGCAGTGTCACTAACACAACCTTTAAGTTTGCCGGCAATACCTCCTAAAATAATGATTAATTATGAATATGATGACATGCAGATAGCGATGTAGAACTGAATTAATGTATCATTTTTTATATACAAACGACCTGAATATTTAGTCATTACCTGTTGACGTTGCACATGCCATCTTGCCATCTCTATCAATCGCAACAGCACATGCACAATCGCAAGTGTCAACTTCTTCAGGTCTAATTTCAGGCGCATCAGCAGGAAAAGAACCTTCCTCCATAAAATATCTCACAAAATCATTGAAATATTTAGGTGGAACACGTCTCTGTCCATTTAACAATTCATTCGGTTCGCACCAATCCAATCCATTATCCTGAGCAAATTTCAGAGCACCATCACCACTAAGAGCACTATGTGGTGTTTTTTTCATTATTTTTCGAGCAAGACAAACTGGATTTTTGAAATTTCGACCAGAAATTACAGCACCTACAATAAACAGAAAAGAATTAAAAAGCTTTTTACACTGATTACTCACAATTTTAAGAGTACCAAGTTTATTCTTGAGTGATATCATGAGATTTGCTTCGTACAAAATGTAAACAGCATGTATCATGTTTGCCAATTTCTAATGAAGATGCAGCAGGAAATACATTCTGGTTTTATTTGTTATCAAAAAAATTCAAAGTTAAAGTATCACAAATGGATTTTAACCTGTTTTTAAAGTGTGTCCATCCATAATCAATGCATCACATTCAACTTCTCCTTCACTGTTCAATGGAGATCCACGACCTATCATGAATAAGTCACTGCTCTCTAAAATACTAACTGCCTTTTCAACAGCATCAACAGCAGTGCCACCATTCTGAGGTGATAAAAATAATCATAATGTTAAATGCAGTTAATAAAATTCTGACGAAATTTTTAAACGAGTTACTTACCGTTAAGACTGCATATCCCTCTCTGGCTGATTCTTTCAGTTTTTCAAGGTATTCATAACTGATATGTTCTCTAATATGTTTGCTATAGACTCCTCCCATGACAATAATTGCGGGGGCTCCATCGAAATCTTAAAAATTACCCATTATTAAATTTGATGCGTCACTTTAAAGCTGAGCGATTTATAAAATTGTATGGATGATGTTGTTTGCTGATGACATAGATGAATATGCAAAAAGTAAATTTTGTCCTGATTCATGCATATCCCATAGTAAAGTTTTCCCTTTTTGTCTTAGTTTAGGAGAATTAAAAGTTGAAATGTAACGTGCGCACTTTTTTCTTACCACATTTGAGAAAATTGATAATAAGACAACATATCAAAATTTTACTCTATATTTGGGTTGACTAAAATTGTTTTAGGTTATGTGATTATTTCTTGATGAGAGCAGCAAAAAATAATCTCTCACTCTCAGACACCTCTAGTGGAGCATTCTTAGAATAATCATGGAAAATATCTTGATTTACATAACTGCGTGTCAATCTTAGACATTTAAATATTGAGTTCACTGGGCTTTATTTAGCGGCTGACGCCAAAAAAATGGAGGATTTGTTCCATTACCGCTGAGATTTACCGAAATTGACTGCTTTTCCAAAAATCTCACACTTTCTCTTTCCCCCCTTGAGAAAGAGTGAGGAAAAAGTATGTGTTTTTCGCATATTTAGCAAGCAATTTTATGATGAAAATCACTTTAAAAACATAAATTTCATAAAAGCGAGTCTACTGTGGTTGCCAGTTGTCGGCTTCTACGACGGATGCCTTTTTTAACTATTGACGAACGAGCTATTTGTTGGCCACATATGAATGCAGATGTGCGCGTCGTAACTGTCGTGTAATGATTTGCTCGATCAAAGTTTGTAGTCTGCACGAAATAAAATGTATCAAATTTTATCTCAACGGATCACGAGAGAAATGTTAGATCATTTATTCTCATTAGTTTTTTGCTTTCTTTCATGTGATGGCCTTTTTCACAACAATTGTAGGATTTGTTTTTGTACATGCATCTCGCGTTTCGTAAATGAATAATGAAAAAAATATTGTATACAAATCATGAGAACCTTCGAGATTTTTGTGGTCTTCTGAACTACATCAAATACTTGTCAAGTTGTAGCATATTTGATATCGTTGTCATGATTGTGAAATGACAAAAATACAAATAATTGGTGACAGAAGATTTACTGGAGTCTCCCCAGAAATTCAAAATGATCTTACCAGCTGTCTCGATTCAATTATTGAAGATGAAATCAGAAAGGAAATAAATGATTGCACGTTTATGAGTATTCAGGTTGATGAAGCATCTAATGTGTCCACCAAAGAGCAGCTAAGTGTTATTGCTTGGTTTGACAAAGCAAGTGAAATTATTGAGAGGAAATTAGGATTTGTGGATGTAAGTATGAACAAAAATGCCACAGCATTATCACAAGTTGTCAAAGATAAACTTGGTGAGTGTTCTAATATAAAAGAAAAATTGGTTTTGCAAACATATGATAGTGCTTCTGTCATGTCTGGCCATATCAATGGTGTTCAAGCATTGGTTCGACAAGAGTATCCTTTTGCCTATTTTGTTCATTGTGCAGCTCTTAGTTTGAACCTTGTCCTATGCCGGTCAGCCTCATCAATTTCTCCTGTTAAAATCTTTTTCATTAATATAGGTGCATTTAGCACATTTACAAGCAATGCTTTGCCCAAAAGAAAAGCTTTTCTCACATCAAACAAACTTGAGTTTCCTGCCCCTGGTGAAACAAGATGGTATTATCGCTCTAGATTAATCAATGTATTGCACAAAATCTATGAAAAAACTTTTAGATATTTTTGAGGGAGTACTTGAAAAACCAACTGGATGGGATGATGAGTCATTAAGTAAAATAAGTGGCTTACTGCATTATCTTGATAGCTTTCTCTTTTGTTTTGTAGAATATTTAAGAAAAGTAAGACGTACACAACATTAGTTTGTTGTTACATAGCTATTTACCGTTAAGATCAGGGTAATCAATAACAGCTTCACTTGTCTTTCCCTTGCCTTCTTCAAGTTTTACAGGATCTTCACTGTCTAAAAAATGTTTGCAACGGCAATATACAGAATTCAAAACATACATGCATTAAGTACAATAAATGAAGAGGACAACTAGAGTGAAAATAACAAATATAGTGTCATGAACCGCTAATTTATAGCTTGGCCAACGAAAATAAAAACTTATTTCTGTGTCTTACTTGGAAAACGTTTCTTTAGAACAGGTCTTGTCTTCCATTCACTCAATCTTATAGTTCTGTGAACTAGAAGAGGCAGTTCCTTAAAAAGTCGAAGAAAATATTCTTGATAGTTTCCATCTTTAACACATGATGACAGTTGTGGACGAGATTCATGATGCCAATGCTGGCGAACGTTTCGTAAAAATCTTAGGCAACCTAACCATGTAGAGTCGGATACTTTATTGAAATGATTAAAAAAGTCAGGATCGATACGGTCCATCCAATCTATTGAAAGATTCAACTGCTCACGAAGATTTGAGGGAAGAGAATGTGGAGATGATTTCTTTATTTCTGGTTCATTCCCAACATCACACAGAAAATCGAAATTCTCCTCATCGGTTTGTAGATAAGGGTGTTTTAACGCCTTTTTGGCCAATGGTCTGTCTTCCGGTTCTAGCTGTAGCATCCACGATAAAAGGTCTTTGAGCGTGGCATCCTTGATTTCGTCCAAGCCAACTGGGTTTCCATTTAATAAGTTGTACAGTAAATGCCGTTCAGCTCCAAAAGGATGTTTCCCCTTTGTTGCAACATAATAAGCCACCATTCCGGCATTCTATTTTCAATAAATAATGGAGTTAATTTGTTTGTTAGTTGCAAAAAATTCAAGTTTAGGCCAAAAAAATCAGAATAATGTTCTCTAATTAAGAATCGTAGCCACAATTTTTTTAGAGCAATCTAAATGAGACATACAATCGTAAAACCAATAAGGCAATAACAACAATTTATTATCATACATATACATATTTTTATATTTTATACCGTACAATTTGTATTTCGCCACTATATGACTGTACAATGGAGGTAAACAAAAATTGTATTTAAAAGTGATAATGATATCAGTGGCAGTGATAATGATATCCCTACCAAATACAACATTCAAATGCAAACACAACATTGAGCTGTAGTTGTACCTCCAGTTCTACTTCAAGAACTTACCATAATGTCAGACTCTTTTTTGTAACGAACTTTATTAATTGTATCATCTGATGCGTTATATGACTCTGGAGTTATCCAATATTTAGCTCCTCTTTGTATGCTCCAATGTGTCGAAGTTTCATCAGATAATAACATATGACTTATACCAAAGTCAGCGATTAAAAAATTTCCTTGTACATCTCGAAGAACGTTTGATGGTGTTAAATCCCTGTGAAGAATAGGACACGGATCACTGTGAAGATCAGCTAAACCTTTTAAAATATGCGTAAGAATTGTAGGAAGTTCTTTTTGAAGATCTTGCAAAGTAGAAGATTGCACAAAACTTTCTAACGATTCTTCACACAAATCTAATATCAAATACAAATAATCTGTGCCTGGTTCTTCTTCAAGATACCAATAATTCACAATATAATTTGAACGCTTGGCATTAAACTCATTCAAAATATCTTTTTCTCGTTTGGCCAACTTCGCACAGTTATCTCGAAGCAATCGTTTTACTGCTTTTCCGTAACCATCTTTTCCGAGTCCAAGGTAAACACGAGTTCCATCACTTCCTTTACCAAGCAAAAACTCCTCAGAACAAATAAACTTTACACCATTTACGAGTTTAACTTTTCTTGGATTTTCTTGCCCATATTCCTCCATCATTCTGAACTTTTGCTGGTGCATTATTGATTTATCATAACATTTCCATGGTTGAGACAGCAAGTCTTCAATAAAAAGTAAAGTAGACTATTTAGAAAGGAATAAATCAATGTATCAAGAAACAATTTAATTTTCTAATTATACGCACATTAAGAAAATAAGGCTTACACCGCTTTGGCAGTTAAGGTGAACTGACTTTTATTTTTAGCTACGAAATAATAACATAAAAACATAACAACATGTTTGCCTTTGCTTCAGTTTATTTGTATTAACAGCGTATTTCCCTGCTCCCAAACACACGGATGAGAGATATTTAGTTCAAAGGACGTTGAGGGACGTTTAGACTGAATGTTCCTCATAAAAGTTATCAACACCTTGTTTTCACACTTAATTTACTCTCGTTAACTTTAGAAATTCTTGTGAATGGAAAAGTTAATGTCAGGATCTTTTCCCTTTAAATGCGAAAACATTGAGATTGAAAAATCAAAGATGAAAGCATCTGTCGAGGTGAAAAGAGTTCGGAGAATTAAAGAGCCTAATGTTTTTAAGGTTACCTTCTGAAAAGCTTCTGTTTTTTTTGGACCAGAATTATTGGCTTTTATTGGCTATCAATAACCAAATAATATGTTTTAAAAGGATGTTTTCAACAATATTTTATTTAAGTTCATTTGTGTACGTGTAACGTATACATGTAACTGACAAGTTAATCATGATGGATCACAATTTACTTTTAGCATCATAGCCAGTTTTCACTTTCTATACATACTGATCAAATTTCTATGTTTACAAAGTTTAAAATTTTCACATGATTTTAATACACAAGATTTGCATTATTTTTGAATTAAAAGATTTCAGTTGGCTACATATAACGATACCTTTTAAAATTAATTTATTAGGTTATAAATTATTGTTTGTATTTAGCGTTGAAAAACATGGAAATGTTTGGGCAAATGTTTGCTAACAAAATTCTTTTGCTTACCAGGTTTTGATGTGGAAGGCGAAACACCAATGATGACTTCACTGTTATTATCTAATAGATAAATCAAATTAATTTCTTGCAATGCAATTAAATAACATTACAGCATGATGACAAATTCTAAAACTCTTTTATCTGACCCTTTACAAACGTATGAATGATACGCATGATATAAACGACTCTTAATTGTTTGTGTTTGACTTTTATAGAGAATGTAAAGATATTTGTGCAAATGTTTGCTAACAAAATACAATTTCTTACCAAGTACTGCTGTAGAAGGAGTTTTGTCAATGTCGTCATAGTCGTTGTCACTCATGGGAGATGGCACAGACATCTTTTCGTAAGAAACTGGAAATTAATGCATTACACTACACGGTTAATACATCATAGCAAGATAAAAGGAATACTTGCTGAGTTATTTCACTCTTCATTACATCTCACATTTTCGACCGTTAACAAAAGTGAATGTGAATAAGGAAGATATAAACGAATCTTAAAGGTTATATTGCATTCTTGTTTGTACTTAACATTTCAAAAGGCAAGAAACATTACGTTTGTGTAAATATTTTCATATAAAATTCCATTACTTACAAGGTCCTGATGTAGAAGACGTTATACCAATATCAACATCCCTGCCATTATCATTTAGTAGATATAGCAAAGATTTCTTTTCTTCAGAAGCTGAAGCAATGTAAATATGAAACATTTAAGAATGATAATATTAATAAAAACTATTACAACAAATGTAAGCTTTTATTTGTTAAACGCCACACAAAAAGAAAGTTCCCATCTAGCTATTAAACTTTTTAACAGATTTTTCGGAGCTATAAATGTTTGTTTGTTTACGACAAAAGGTCAGATAATTTGTAAATAAACTTGATCATGCTGATTTCGTCGTGACTGCTGTGTAAGATGGTCTTACTAGGAAAAATCTGAGCGTATTTTTACCAAATCAAAAAAGGATCTTCAAAAAATTAAGTTAACCATAGGTATTTGGTTGCGCCCTCGAATGGTACGCAGTACTTTTACTTTTTAGTATAGCATGTTTTCCCTTTAATACTTTCTTCATTTATTTCACATTATTTATAGTTTTACTCAAGCCTAAAATCAAAGTAATTTAGTCACCAATAATAACAGATGATAATCGGATTGGTCATGCAAATTTTAGATGTTTTAATTAATAATCAGAAAAAGAAATATCCAAAAGGAATTGAGACGCTTGCAAATGACAATAGACATGATGATAACATGTCTATCATAACATATTGCAAATGATGATGGACATGATGATAGAATGATAATAACCTATAAGACAACTTTCAGATATTCCAAAATATCTGCAAGAATTTTCTAAGCTGGCATTCACGTAGTATTATAAATGTATACATAAAGTTCTATGAAAATAAGCATTAAAGGGGATTAAATTACGTCAACTTCTAAATCCCCGAAGCGTAATTAGTTGCACAGTCATTGAATTTTTAATGTTTAATGTTATTTGTAATATACCTGCATTTTATAATGCATTGCCCTAAACAACCACATATATCCATGTACTAAAAACATAAGAACCAAGAAGGATAGAATCAAATGAATATTTCATATTAACTTTCGCCTTGTTGAGGGAAGAAAATATAATTGCGTTTCACCATTTCATACCGGCAAAGGGGATGCTGGAGATAAAATTTTTAAAATGGTTAGCTTGTTCATGACAATCTTTGATGCACTGATAAACAAACATATCGCGACAAATCAAAGGCAGAAAATTTACACTTCACTGTATAACGGGAATAGCTGACTGACTAGGTTGCATTTTTACACTTAGAGATTTTAGAGATTGATTAGCTACATCATTGACGAAAAAGAAATATTTTAATGGTTAACTTACTAGCAAATTGTTCTTCCAGACCTGGAGTGGATTTCCCTTCGATATACCTAATGATTTTGTGCACGAGAAGAGGGAGCTCCGGCAAAACTTGCAGGAAATACTTTTTATAGTTGCCTTCACTTGGCGGGAGTTGTGGATGAGGTTCATCTTGCCAATGCTCGCGAACGTTTTGTAAAAATTTTAAGCAGCCTAACCATGTAGAGTCAAAGTCATTGAAATTGTTAAAAATTTCTCCGTCGATACGGTCCATCCAATTTTCTGGATCATTTAACTGCTTATGGACACCTGAGTTGAGAGGATCACATATCTCTATCTCCAATTGATTCACCACATCACACAGCATATCAAAGTTCTCTTCAGCAGATTGCAGATATGGATGTTTTAATGCTTCTTTAGCTGATGGCCTGTCTTCTGGTTGTCGTTGTAGCATCCATGAAAGAAGATCTTTAAGTACAACATCATTGATTTCCATCAATCCAACAGGGTTTCCATCTCCCAAGTTTTTCAGTCTATACTCTAGAGGTCCAAAAGGATGTTTCCCTTTTGTTGCAACATAATAAGCCACCATTCCTGCATTCTAAAATATATAAAACATAACAGTGTCAACAAAAGATTTCTAAAAAATTTGGAAGTAATTTGCAAATGGTTATATTTTTACACCCACCATTACATCAGACTCTGGTTTGTATCGTGCTTTAACAAATGACTCTTTATTAACAACGTACGATTCAGGAGCAATCCAATACTGAGTTCCCCTATTAGCATCACTTAAATATGTCTTAGAGTCACTTAAAATTCGACTAATACCAAAGTCAGCTATAAGAAATTTGCCTTGTGCATCTCGGAGTACATTGGAAGGCTTCAAATCTCGATGAAGAATGGAATTTGGCTCGCGGTGAAGATCAGCTAATCCTGTTAAAATGTGTCTGAGAATTTTGGGAAGAGAATTTTGAAGATCCTCCACAGTAGAAAAATGCACAAAACTCTCTAACGATTCTTCACATAGGTCGAGTATCAAATAGACCCATTCTGTTTCAGTGTCTTTTATAAAGTAGGAATAATTCACCACATAATTCGAATTCTTTTCTTTAATTTCATCAAAAACTTTCATTTCTTTCTTTGCAAAATCGATAAAGTTGTACTGAAGTATTCGTTTCACAGCTTTCCCGTAACCATCCTTGCTTAGTCCAAGATAAACACGGGTTCCATAACTTCCTTTGCCAATGCAAAATTCATCTGAGAAAATTACTCGAACATGGTTTAAAAGTTCAACTTTTACATTAGGATTATGCCTATACTCAATCATTTTTAAAAATAATTCTTTGTGTTTTATCGATGGACCATTATATTTCCATTCTTGTAGTTGCAATTCTGAAATTGAAGGGAAAAAATCAAATTTAGAAATGAATAGGAATAATAAAATACATAAAAGTAGTTAAAGATAAACTATTACAATGAGAAATTGGATAGCGACTGTACAATCTGTTAAAAGTAGTAAAAGCAAACCACTACATCATAAACCACCTGTTCAAAAAAACAGTTCTAGCAAGAGTGTAGGATAGTTGATAACAAAAATATAATAAATATAATACAATATGACTACAGATTAGAAAAACAGATCAGCTAATCCTTTTAAAATCTCTTATACAGACACACACATTGCCAACTTTTTACTAAAGCTGTGGAAATACTTTAATTTTCATTGGAACAACAGCAATTGAAACTGCTTTTTGTAAAAAATGAAAAGTAATTCTTTTGAAATTTTGCATTTGCATTGAAAAATGAATGCATTTTCCACATCAAATATTTCTTAGGGAAAACAAGAATTAGGAACAAAATTTTATGTCTTAAGCTGAATTCATGTGCATTTTCTACCTTGGTTCTTTTTTCTTTCACGAAATTCTTGTAATCTCGTTTTCATTGAATCCCTGTGTAAATCACGTCCTTCTTCGTCGTATATTTGTATCAGATATTCCATAGCGTTCTCTTGTTTTTCTATATCTTCATCTTCTGTGACAATCCCCAGATACATTTCATAAATTTCTGCTGCTTCCCCATATTGCTCAAGTTTATCAAACAATTCTGCTAATTCCCATAAAACAGCCAAAACTCCACTGACAATTCCAGCTGAAGTAACAATTGACAAGTTCTTCAAGTTCTTCAAGTAATCTTTACCAACGTTAATACCACCAACTTTTCTTGGTCGTCGCGGTCGTTCACGCCGTTTATTTTGCTCTTGTTGATTTCCTTGTTGATTTTCTTTCCGTTGTCGAGGTTGCATTTCTTCTTCTTGGTGTTCACAATCAATAAAAGAGAATCCTTTCCAATAATGCTCCAAGGATTTTTCATAATTTTCAAGTAACTTATTCAATCCTCCCAATGCAACATGACAGAGACAGACCATTTCATCTTTCTTTATACCATCCTCCAATCTTTTACTGGTACAATGGATACTCCCCAACCCGAGGTATATTTGATGTTGAAAATATTTAATTTCCAGTTCAGAAGAAAGATTCAAGCAATCATTAAAGCAGTTTATTGCTTCCTCCTCTTTATCACAGAGTGTGTAAGCATTACCAAGACCAAAATATGCTATCGTTTTCAGGCTATTTTCGTCGGTAGAATTCAAACATTTTTTGTAATGTTCAATAGCCGTTTCATAATCGCGATTATCCATGCTACCATTCCCTTCTTTCAAGAGCCGCATAGCTGCTGGTTGTGTGCTGTATGAACTTGATTTCTTTTCGTAAATACACAAGATTTGTCGTCGTTTACATTTTGTGTTTCTTATGGTGGTCAGCCAGTGTAGCTCACTGATATGTATATTACACTGAATAGCGCACCATGTATAAAATATAGTAAGATAATTGAAGCCGGAAGTTGGCTCATATGAGCTTCGTGGGGGGTATCGGCTTCACATTACTCTACTTTGTATTACAAAATGACAGTTTTTGCGTTTTTATTCGTTCTACAAACTTTTGATTCGAGGAAAATTTTGTGAAAGGAACAGAACAACCGGCAAAGATATTTAATCCTAAAAAGTTTGTTTTCTTGGCTTTATTATGGCAGAAAATTGAGATTGTACAAGGTCGACCTGCATTGTTTCGAAACAAACTGGAGATTATATGATGCTGCTGCTTCTTAAAAAATATAGAAATATTAAAGAATCCTACTACTGCTACCAAAATTTCATTTGCAATGTTTATGGAAGATTGCTACAAATTTACTTATTTAACAACACTTTGTTATTCACATCGCTAATATCATAATAATTTAAAATTACGTCTTTATTATATCAGAGAAGAAACTAAACAAATCGACAAAGAAAAATAATCAGAAAGACATTTTAATGAGCAATAGTACGTTGAAAACGGTATCATCAAACTTTACGAGATGTACATCATCAAAATATGCGAATTAAAGTACCTCTGTTGCCATAAAGCGAAGCAAAGTTTTTAATCAGTTCCTATGTGAACAACTTCCATATCGATGAATATGTTGAAGATGTGAATACCTTTGTTCTTACTTTGTTGTAAATTTGTAATTTAAGTATTCATCTTCTAAAAATGCCTCGCACGGCTGAAATTGCTCTCGTCACCTTCAACTTTCAAATTTTCAACCTTCAACTTTTCAATACAACTTGCCATTTTATTTTTCAGTCGTTACAAAGCCAAAAAAACATATCTTCTGGGTTAAAACTCTCTACCGGTTTTCCTCTACATGTCATAAATATTTTGCCCTAATCAGAAGTTTGTAAAAGAAATAAAAACGCGAAAACTGTGACTTTGTAATACAAAAGTATAGTAAAGTGGGACTGATACCCCCCATGAAGCCAGTATCAAATGAACGATTTTTCGGCTTCAATTTTCGCAAGAGATACGTTATCCAGTCTAATATACATATCAGTAATGTAGCTCCAAATACATTATCCAGAGAGATACGTGGTGTAGCTCCAAATACATTATCCAGAGAGATACGTTATCCAGTCTAATATACATATCAGTGGTGTAGCTCCAGTTTCAGAGTCGAAACTGGTAGTCCAGTTTCGACTCTGATAATTCCAGCAAAGTTTCAAGTGATTTGTCTAACAGTGTGGGATAACAAAGATCACTCATGACTGGTGGCAAGTCAGAGTGCAAAGCTTGAGGTACATAACAATCAGAATATGAATGTATTAAAGAAAGTATTGCTGGTTTTGATGAGGAAGAACTAATAGTTTTAAAATATTCATCCAATTCTCACGATGATGGGGCAGGAATTGGATTTCTTTGCACTTTGCCTTCGCATTTCTTATATTTACTAATTGATATTCTGTATGGCACAGCCTTGACAGCACTTGGAAGGACCCAGTATGCCTTCTTATCAGTCACAGTTAAAGAATCTCGTTTTCGTGCACCAACTTCAACAGCCCACAGAAGTGAAGCGACGTGAGAGCAGCTTTCACTTTTTCCTGCCATACAATCGCAGTGCGCTGTTAAAACTTTGCCGTTCTTTTCGCAAACAACCCAAGGAGTAAATCGCTTCTCCGACATTCTTTGAGAGTGATTAACCTGGTGTAGTGAAAAAAGAAACAAGGAATTCAGTCTCATTAGAGTACGAGTGCAGCCAATGTGCAATGTTTTTAGTGACAGCTGAGAAGCATTAATTTTAGCAATAAGCAAGCAATGATCGTCATATTTTTTCACCAACACTTTACGCACCCATCCATTCACAAAATTTTAGTAACTATCAAGACTCTTATAGTTTTTTAACTGCTCTTTCGTGTGCGGACTGACCGAAAATAATAAATACATGCCAACATGAATGTAGCTGACAGCAGGCCACAGATCGATATCGTCGAGCTATTGATTTTTTGGTATTTTGTACGGATCATCTCCATTGCAATGTCCTAATTTCATTTTGTAACACCCTTTATTATCCTCACACTGAATATTTTCTATATATCCAGGCAAAAAACCTTTTTTTGACCTAAAAAGCGCTGACTTTACGTTACCAGCCATATTAACATATAAAGCGTGCACATGTGTTGTCCTCCAGATGCCCCCCAGCAACAGTTGCTAAAGCGTGCGTGACGCCACTGCAAAGGGGCTATTCAATGCTGCCACTCTGTGTATGCACATTTCACCTAAAAAACTTTATTTTCCCCCTACTTCCCCCTACTACGATTTTCCTTTTTTCCACTACTTTTCCCCTACACAACAACATATTATATACCTACGTCGGGTCGGACCATTGAATTTTTTAGTCAGTTCTTAAAAAATGCATACAAAAAAAGGTTTATCGAAAACTAAGAACATCTAGACGACAAAGTTTGAATTTGGCATAGGAAGTAATGACATGCAGGTGGCGCAAATGACACACTGATCTTCTATTGCCATATATGGTCACAAAATGCGCCAAAAGAAAGATTCTGTTACAATTACTTGCTAAATGGTGAGAACACAGGAAGAAAAGAGTATTTTGGGCAAAAATGAGGCTCATATTTAAACGATTTTCTTTTCTCCCTACGATCACCCTACAATTTACAGTTTTCCCTGTAGGTTTCCCCTACCACCTACAAACCACTAAATCCCCCTACTGTACGTACGCGCGCGTTATGGCGTTAAAGTGCATGCCAAAATCATTCAAAATCAACTTTCGCATTTTAAGTTTGACATTTTTCATTTTATTGGACTTCACATGTTCTATGTTCA